GGCCCGTATGGCTCAAAGCCGTGCATAGTTTTTACATTTAAGAAAACCTCCAGTCAGACCAGTTTTACACTTTTACATGGTTAAAAAGATTTTTGTCACCTGAAAATTACATGACAGTCAGATTTCAGGGTCCATAAGTTAACTCACAGTGCATGTTGAAATAGAATGATCCTTCACGTACACATTTGTGTACGGCCAGTGTCTGCTTTTGTGCTGCAATGGTAGAGTTGAGAGTTTGCCACAAACTCTGGTTTGCAAAGCCTGTTTCCTCTCTTCACAGGAAAAGCTTGCTAAATTCTGTCAGATATGAAATAATGGTTACAAAAAAGAACAGCTGTATCTTGAATGTAAATGCTTTCAAGAAGAAAATTAAAATGTGTTTTTTAGTTTGATCTGCTATTTACCCCTTAAAAAGTGCTGTTAGACCTGGATAGCATGTGTTTTTGAGATAAAATTTCCAACCATCCTATCTTCTCTACCCGGCAACACTGTTCCTGGCAGTAGTTTACAACACAAAGTGCCACACCCACATTCTGTGTAAGGGAAAGGAAAGAGTTGCATTAAATTTTGCAACTTAGATTATTTCAGCAATTCTCTAGCCCATCCTTTGACCTTTGTGTATTAGTGCATATGACTCTGAGTCCAAATTTAAAACTTGGTATAAGACATGTTTCTTGCCTTTCTCAGCAGAGGAAATCCAGTGTACTTTGAATTTTTGAGTAATTGAATCTCAATGATAAATGGAATTCTACTCCCCGTGACTTCCAGCCACATCAATTTCAGTACATCTTAAAGTAAACTAGCTGAGTTGTGATGGGTAAGAGCATACACTGCTCTGAGTGTTGCCTGGGCCATCATCTTAAAAAGAAAGTGTTCTTGGGTACTGGAGAGATGGCTCAGTGGTTAAGAGCACTGACTGCTTTTGCAGAGGACCTGGGTTCGATTCCCAGCACCCACATGGCGGCTATGAACTGTCCTTAACTCCAGTTCCAGGGGAATCCGAAGCCCTCTTCTGACCTCCATGGCACTGCATGACATGGGTACATGCACATACATGCAGGCAATACACTCATATACATAAAATAAAAATAATAAATAAAATATAAAAAAGAAGGTATTCCTGCTTTCCTTGAAGCTGGGTCAAAAACCATTGTACAACTTCTCTTTGTTTATGTTTTATGGTTGGTTTGGTTTTCTTTCTTCCCAGGGGGTCTTTTGCTTTTGGATCTCCAGAAAGAATATTTTATAACTACCTTATAGATATTTTCAAATTAAAAATAGTATATATAAGGAGATAGCATGTATTAGATGTTCAGTAAATGGAAGTTAATACCAGTAGTGTAATAAGAGTTACCAGAATGAGAGAAATTTAAGAAATGCATCATTTCATCTTTTTGGTAAAATATATTTATATCATGTGCATAAGGATTATGAAAACAATGCTTTAAGTATATTCAGTGCAACAGAGTTTTGAATTAAGAAATTTTGGACACAACCTAAATGCTTAAATATGAAGCAAGACTATGGATATTTACTAATATTAAGATATTAAAAATGGCAAAGGATACATACTGATATGAAAAGGTGTTCATAA